GGGTTCCTCTTTGTTCACCGTGGGAGACCAAGCCACGGCTACTAAGTCCCCCCGCCACGACAAGGCGGGAACCCGTTCGGGGGGGACCTAAAGCATACCTAAAGCAAACATTTGCGTGATCGTGAATAGGAGTTTTTTTTTATAGAAGAGGGGGCAAACGAGCATGCGGCTCACCTGATGTTAAGTGACTACCGCCGCCCATGATCAACCGCAACACCAGGGGAATTGCAGGTGCGTTGCCGGCCCTTTAGAAAGGAGTCCGGAAAAATGTTAAAAGCAAAGCTACTTATACTAAACTCTTACGAAATAGGTAATACTTTATAGACGTTTTATCGTGTGATATGATTATTTGATGAATTTAGTTTAGTATTTGTATCATGTATATGTATATATATATATATATATATATATATATATATATATATATATATATATATATATATGTTACTTTACGGTGAGTGAATACCGTAGCCCATAGACATCTACATTTATCCTCGACTAAGAATCAACATTCAGATGCGTTATCACCCCTGAGGACTAAGATGGAATGCCTTGTATCCGGTAAAAAGAGTCTCCGGTTACCATAATACAACAGCATTAAACTGCTGTTTTACATATGGTGGTGGTCCTTTTATCTCTATACCAGTAAACACCTCTCTCTCTGCATTATCGCTTACCATACTTTGTACAAAAGTATTATCTTGCTAATTTAAGTTTGTATTCACAAGCAGCACAGCTGACAGCACCCTCGGACGATCGGGCTACAACCATATAATATAGCTGCAGCCTAGCTCTGACACGTGGTAAACGTTGTTTGCAAAGGTGGCTGCAAGTTTTATACTTATCATTAATAATTTTCATCATAATCATTATATCGAAAACTCGTAAACATGGTACAGCCATACTTAAAAGTATTATGGCTCCAATTCAAATGGACTCAGCCGCGAAAATGACCACGCTTGCACAGAGTAACAGCTTAAAATAACAATGTACTCGTAATACTGCTGTATTTTAATGTGAGAAACGGCGAAGTCCGGAAACTCTGTTTACTGTTATAAGAACTTTATATATTATGTGATATGTGATTCTAGGGGTGATCATGTTTAAGAGTGTGATTCTTAATATGAATGTAGATTTCTATGAACACACTTACTATTAGGTGAAAGTTATTCTTAATTCTATAGAAAAAAAAAACAATTACGAATGCGACTCTCCAATACGGTCGCATGTAAATTTTAATTACGTTCATTGGGTAAACCCATCTCGTTGAGTGCTATACACTGTGACTTCGTTTTTAAAATAGAATATAAAGATATATTTTGAAAATCGTAACATGAATCTATCAAAATAATATAAAAATTAAGAGGGTAATAAAAATAAAAATCATAATTTCAGCAAATTACTTAGATATTACCTACCACCATTGTAATTAAAATCCGTTATTGAATATAGAACACTTAATACATGAATAAATATTGCTCTAGCGCAGGGGTCACCAAATGGCGGACCGCGGTCCGCATCCGGACCGTCGACCCACTTGGTGCGGACCCGCGAGAACACAGTAACTTACACTAAAGACTACTTCCGATATAAATAACTTCCGTGGCCCCAAAAAGATTGACGCGAGCTGTGCGTAATTTAATAAAAATGTATCCCCCGCATTATCTTTGTTGACGTCAATTCGAAAACGGCCGGGCGAAGTAACGAGCGAGCGAGAAAGAGTTCGCCAATTCAAGACGTGTTCATTACGGAAAATTGAGAATGTTGTAGAAATCCTCAGCAGCATTTACTCTCTGCATCCTGATGGTAAATGGAGTAATTATGCTGCAATTGTTTTCGGAAGTGATAAAGCTACTCTGCAGATGGAAATGATCGATTTCCAAGAAAACACAGTTTTAAAACACAAACAATCGGTAGTTTCCAGTGAAGAGTTCTGGATAAAATTTGTGTGTGGTAATAAATATCCAGAACTACAAAAATTAGTTTTGAAACTTCTTACTTTGTTTGGATCGACATATATTTGTGAAGCAGCATTTTCGACTTACTACTGTACATCTCCAGGTTTTAATGTCAATAGCTTGCACCAATTTTACTCCAAACTACACACATAATTACACACAGACAGATAATTTGCAACAAAAATGTCATTTTTCGCATTGATACCTATGTAACAAAATACCTTTGTTATTTCCTTAATTACATTTGTTTAATAAATACTTTTTCTTATAAATAAAATGTGCGGACCACGATGGTCATTTCATTTCTTAAAACGGACCCCGAGCGAAACTAATTGGAGACCACTGCTCTAGCGTCTACGAATTCCTGGAACTCTAAGATGATTTATTTACTCCTTTATCGCCCTTAATATGAAAAAGGACATAACATCGAAATAAAAATCACTCTATGAAATAATTTAAGTAAAAAATTGAAATATTTTTATAGAAGTGCTACTAACTAAAACATTTTATCAAACTTTGCAGAAGAAAATATAGGTTTGTGCATATTAAGGATTAAAAATAATTTGAGGAATTGTGATTAACACATTACATCATCATCATTACCATCATTATAGCCCTTCAGAAGTCCCGGCTGAACGTAGGTAAGTCTTTTTAAGAAATACCACACATTACAAATGTAAGTAGTGTTGTCAAAAATAGCTTTATACTTACATTTGACTGAGATGTTATTTTGATGAAAATCGAACCAATGCAATGTTGTTTAATTATGAAGTTATTGAAGCTTTTGACTATCTTTAGTAACGTAGTAAGTTACCTGTAATGTTTGCTTATTAACGTTCCAGATATACGAAGATATCAGTGTCGGTTTGGATGTGAATGAAATTTGTTATAAGTGATTAAATATAATGCTTATATTTAATCACTTATAAAAAAATTTATGTAATATTATATAATATTATATACAATTTAAATGAGTAAAAATTTGAAGAATTGGAACAGTTTCTTGAGGTTAATGGTATCACGAAACGACGAGTTTTAATTCGCGTGATTATTTGAATTAAGTCAAAGTAATCGATACCCCAAACATTTTATTTTTAAACAGCAGAACCTTGCAGCCTTTTGAAAAAGAAAGTAATGAAATATAAGACTAACTTTAACCGTACCGTAGGGTTTACAGAATTAAACAAAGGAAACCTTTCAAGCTAATGTCAAAATAGCCAGCTATACTGAATATTTCCGGTGTTAAACATAGTTATTAAATTCAATCTATATTCTAATGAATAAGAAAAAAGGAGATAGTTTCCACGTTTAAATTTAAATAAAAAAGACTCTTCCAAGCCTTTTTCATCCTTGGCTTCCATGCATAAATTACAATCAATATACGTCAAGCGACAGCGTAAATGCAGGCTTCATAAGCCTTTGTTAATTAAGTGGTTTACCCTTAGGCAATATGTCTTGAATATTTTAAATAAAGTGCAGGGTATAAAGCATATTGTAATATTTCTACAAAATTGCCTGTCATTTTAATGGGGTAATTTTTTTTTCAAAATCAACATAATGAAAAAAATATAAACAGAATACATTTGAACTACTATCTTTAAAAAAAAATCATGAAGTTTAAATATAAATCTTTATTCGAAATTAATTAAATCCTAAATATTTAATTTAGTATGAAATTAATTTCGGTTTCTAGTGCGTTGCAGCACCTATAAGGACTAAGTCATAGTTAGTGATCAAACGTAAAATCCATTAAAATATCTGTGGTACCCAGCCCTGGCTAGGTCGCTCCTGCAAAATTTTATTACGTCATGAGCAAAAGTGCTACCAGGCCTGGGCTCGCGTATAGACGTCTCGGGAGGTTAATACAACTTTAACTTCCTAGCACTTTTTAAAGAAGTACAATTCTGCCTCCAGGTCCTTCAAAAGTGTCATTGTCAAGGCAAAGTCTCTCTGCACAGTGAGGACGACTCACTGGCCCATGCCGCAAAAGACAAAGCCGATCTGCTGGGCTCTCTCTTTGCGTCCTATTCGACTGTTTATGACAGGGGAAAACACCGCCGACCATTTCGCGGTGTGAGTGCTTTATGCAGGATGTGCTGTTTACCCAACGCTCGTTGCGCAGAGCACTCCTCTCCCTGGACGTCAACAAGTCGAGTGGCCCTGATGGACCGATACGACTTATGGACCTTCATAATGATTTCTTATATTTACGCGAACATTGCACATGATTAAAACTACTTTTACGGATTTTGTCGCGTTTATTTTTACTTTTCATTTTTAATTCCCGACGTTTCGGGCGCTTTCTAGCACCCATGGTCACGGGGGACTGAGATGACTGACGTCCCGATGTCATTGTTAAACCCGGAGTACCTTCAACTTTTTTAATTATTGTTTATGGTCCGATCTATGCAAAATGAACTGACTATGTCCTGAGGTCTTGCAGTGGTATGCTTGGGTTTAGTTTTAATTTTATTGATTATAGGATCCCTAGCAGGTGGTAGTACCCAGCCTCCTTCTCTATTGAAATTAGGATGTTTTTTAATTTCAATAGCCTCACGTATCATCCTTGGTAGGAATCGGTGTTCTTTCGCGAGGATTTGTGGTCTATCAAATCTGATGTAATGGTTGGGGCCGTCTAGGATATGATCACAAACTGCAGACTTCCCGGAACGTTGATGCTTCACATCAGCTATATGTTCTTTTACGCGGGTCCTAATTGATCTTTTGGTTTGTCCTATATAAGAGAGACCACATTCACAATCAAGCTTGTACACTCCTGCATCTTGTAGAGGAATATGAGACTTGACGGATGGTAGGAACTGACTAATCTTCTTCGGCGGCTTGTAGAATGTTCTAATAGAAGCTCGCTTCAAGATATAGCCAATCTTGTCTGTGACACCTCTGACATATGGTAGTACAGCAGGCACACGCTCGACTGTGGCCGGCTTCACTCGGTCACTGTGACGTAGGCGCGTAAAAGAACATCGTATCGTTTTCATGGCTTATCAATGCAAAAATCCAGAAATGCATCGTACTGCAATCATGACCTATCAGAAAAACAATACAGAGTCTCACCGTGCTGGAGTCATGACTTACCAGCAAAGCAATCCAGAGTCTCACCGTACTGATGTCATCACTTACCAGCAAAATAACCCTGAGTCTGACCGTACTGCAGTGGTAACATACCAGCAAAATAGCCCTGACTCTCACTGTGCTGCGGTGGAAAATTATCAAGATCAAGAAGAAAGAGGATTACGACCATGGAAAGTAAAAGCTTTATCTAAGCTGAGCTTACGAATCTGATAAAACGGTAATTCTTGGTGTCTTGAATCAAAAATTTATACACTGTTTAGCTTTCAAGTGAAAAGAAAATGGCACGTGCTACGCCAGTGGTAAAATGAAGCTTCCTGATTTTGAGCCCTTGAACCCAGAACTTTATAACTTAATTATAGCTTATATCTTACTCTTATCCAGAGCAAGCACTTTTCATGGATCGTATTAGGAAGTATGTATAATGGCTGCTTTAAAATGACATCCTTTGGGCTAAAAGTAATAGAAGATGGTTGTATATTTTATATATTGTATATTATATATTGTATATTATATATACATATATATATATATGTATATATATATATATATATATATATATATATATATATATATATCATCATTTCATCATTACAGCCCTTCACAATTCCACTGCTGAACATAGGCCTTCCCCAAGTAATGACACAAAGCACGGTCCTGAGCCACCTGCATCCATCGACTTCCTGCATATCGTACCAGGTCGTCACTCCATCTAGTGGGGGGTCGCCTACCGGTACGAGGCTCGAGAACCTTTCTTCCCCATAGGTTATCGGTTCTTCGAGCTATATGGCCGGCCCATTGCCACTTCAGCTTACTAATCCGTTGGGCTATGTCGGTCACTCTGGTCTAATTGCGGATATCCTCATTTCTGAGTCTATCACGCAGAGAAACTCCGAACATAGCCCTCTCCATAGCTCGCTGAGCGACCTTGAGCGTCCTCATACGGCCAGCAGTGAAGGACCACGTCTCAGATCCGTAAGTCATCACTGGCAACACGCACTGGTTGTACAATCTAGTTTTTAGAGATTGAGGTATACCTGACGAGAAGATATGTCGTAATTTCCCGAACGCTGCCCAGCCGAGTTGAATCCGTCGATTGACCTCTCGGTCGAAGTTGGACTTACCTAGTCGGACTATTTGTCCCAGGTAAACGTACTCATCAACAACTTCGAGCATAGTGCTCCCAACAACTACCGGCATAGGTGTGACATGAACATTAAACATGATCTTTGTTTTGTCCATGTTCATCTTAAGACCTATCCGTTGGGATTCACTATTGAGGTCATTGAGCATAGTGCTTAAGTCCTCCAGCGATTCTGCCATAAGGACTATATCGTCGGCAAATCGAAGGTGAGTGATGAACTTGCCATTGATGTTAATACATACGGTATTAACATCAATGGCGAGTACATTACCTTTCCAGTCCAGTAGCTTGAAAACGTCTTCCAATGCAGCGGTGAAGAGTTTTGGGGATATAACGTCACCTCTCTGCAGTTGGATAGGTTTCGAGCTCTGGTTCTGCACTCGGATAGCCATCGTAGCCCTACTGTACAAACACTTCAGCACTTCGATATACCGACAGTCAACTTGGCACCACTGAAGGGACTGTAGCACCGCCCAAATTTCGACGGAATCAAAGGCTTTCTCATAGTCCACATACGCCAGGCGAAGTGGCATATTGTACTCTTCAGTCTTCTGTACAATCTGCCGCTGGGTATGTATGTGGTCTATGGTACTGAAGCCTTTTCGGAAACCGGCTTGTTCGGGAGGCTGGAAGTCGTCGAGTCTGCGTGCGAGACGATTCGTAATGACTCTCGAAAACAGCACGTAGACGCGGCTCAGAAGGGAAATCGGTCTGTAGTTCTTCAAGAGAGCGTTGGCGCCTTTCTTGAAGAACAAGACCACCGCACTTCTGCTCCACGCCTCTGGAGTAGTGCCACCATGGAGGACGGAATTGAAGAGCTTCTGAAGGACTTCAAGTACCGGTGTTCCACCCGCTTTCAGAATCTCCGCTGTAATTCCATCATCGCCTGGGGACCTGCCGTTTTTAACGTGCTGGAGAGCCATTCTAATCTCGCTTAGACTGACGTCCGGGATATCATCGGAATAGTATCGGATAAGACTTGCTCTTGGATCGTTACTCACACTTGCGTGTGGCTCCAACGATGATGTGTACAGCTGCCCATAGAACCTCTCAATCTCACTCAAAATCTCAGGTGTCCCGGAAACGATGCTGCCACACTCAGTCTTCAGCTTTGACAGTTGGCTCTTACTGGCAGACAGATCTCTGGCAAAGACTTTGAAGCCCTAGTTCCGCTCGATCGCTTCTTTAATACGAGCAGTATTAAAGTTGCGTAAGTCTCGCCGCATGCATTTGGAGATATGTCTGTTCAGTTGCCTGTATGCTGTCAAATCTTTTGACGATTGCAGCCTCATCTTCCGTCTAACAGCCATGAGATTAAGAGTGTGATCGGAGAGTTTTTGTGTTCTTCTGCGGCGGGTCTTGCAGAACTTAGCTCCGACCGCATGGACAGTTTCCACGAGCTTGTCATTCATATCGTCCACTGCATTGCAATCTTGTAGGCACTGAAAGCGGTTGTGTAACTCGAGCTGAAAGTTTTCGGGATTTTGGATCAGAGCACGAGGGGGGACGGAGCGTTGACTTCATTAGACGAGACCTCTCCAACTTAACGTTTAGGTTCAGTGTGCCTCTAACCATTCGGTGATCGCTGCCAGTTTTCACCCTTGCGATCACTGAGACATCACTGAACAGTTGGCGTCTGGTCGTCATAATGAAGTCAATCTCATTTTTTGTCGAATCGTCGGGGCTCGACCAGGTCCACTTCCTGTGGGGCCGCTTCTCGAAGATAGAGTTCATCATAAAGAGTCCCTCTTTCTCCATAAAGTCGGTCAGCTGTTGGACCCTTCGGTTCCGTTGCCCTACTCCAAATTTCCCTAACTTCAGCTCACCGTTTTCTCTTGTGCCTAGTTTTGCGTTGAAGTCTCCCATCAACACCGTGTAGTGGGTTTTGGAGGAATGCATGGCTTTGGAAATATCCTCATACATTTCCTCCACCTTCTCATCGGGATGTGCCGAGGTTGGTGCGTAAACCTGTATGACCTTCAGCAAATACCGTTTGGTGATTCTGAGTATCAGATACGCGACCCTCGTCGACACACTTCCAATCTTTACAACGTTGTTGACGAGAGACTTGTGGATGATAAATCCGACACCTCCTTGGGACAGATGGTCGCCCTCCCGGTGATAGAACAAGTTGACGGATTCGAGAATCACCGTGTCCTCCCCCTCTCTTCGGACCTCGGATAATCCTATAATATTGCAGCGCAACTTGTCTATCTCTTCTTCCAGCTCCAGGATCTTCTCGTCAGTCCTCAGGATGCGTGCGTTAAATGTTGCCAGGTCGAGTCGTCGTAGGTGGCAACCAAACCTCCACCGGAGATTCTTAGCACCCCCTACCTCGCCGTTACCATGGTCGCCACCGTAGCCAGGAATAGCGGGGCCGCCGGGGACTGGGGGCCGTCTTTTTGTGTAATTGTTCATTGGGGATGCATAGCTGCTTCCCATCTCCTGCCTGTTTCCCTTTGTCGACTTTTACGACACCCACGGGAAGATATGGGGTAGTGGATATTCTTAACCGCCACTACACGGCTATATATATATATATATATATATATATATATATATATATATATATATATATATATATATAAGATCGTAAGCTATATTGCGAAATATGGTCATAACAATAATAATAATACAAAATTTTTTGGAATTTATTTTATTTTATTGATATTTATGTATATTTATCATTACATTTTCATGTATAATTATATGTTTATAGAACCCAACCAGATGAGAAAACTATATAGACACGATTACTCCACTGTTTGATGGTGTACGTTCAAAATAAAAAATGATTTCAATTTATCTCATCATTATCTAGCCTTGTATGGAAACAAAAAAGTAAAAAAAGAGTATGTTTAGAAGTTATAAGCGTTGAAAATTCTGAATTTCAACACTAGTTTTAACACGTGTTTGGGCGGAAATAAATACCATAAGAAGAACGAAAATTGCAAAAGAGTTACCGGGACAGATTACAGGGATAGATTAGTTATTCAAAAATGCAAATAATTTTATTTTAAACAGATACATTCAATAGATTTTTCGTGACATCCAGACTACCAAAGGTCTGTTTATAAAATTTCGCGCGCCCGTTTTTGTTATAAAACAGCCTTTTCATAGCCTTTCGCTACAGTCGCATCAGTGGGACTGACGGAGGGGGGGGGCGCAGCGCGCACTCACATATACTCACTAGGTTAGCCGCTGCTATCTATTTATGGTTGTAATACTCTACATATCTACATATTTATTTAGAAAAATTGCTTCCTTTTGTTCGTGTCCATTGCTGAAGCCGGGATGAATATAGCTGCTAAAATGTGCCCATAAGTTTGTTGAAGCACATTTAGTTGAAATTGAAAACAGGTAGGTAAATAATAATGAACTTTCGAATTCGATATAGGTAGGTATAGTACATTAGGTACTTAACTACTTTAATTTACTAACTAACGAAAACATCTCATAGATAAGCACGATTATCGAAAATCTTAAAATTATCTATAAATTTAATTAGAATAGGTAATTTTTAGATTTTCGATAATCGTGCTTACGTATGGGAATCTCATATCCTAATATACCTAATGTAAATTATGTAAGTACATAATAATCTAAGAAGGGCAGTCAATGATAAATAAAATGTGTTTTGTAAGTTGTTTTTTTTTAAAACACTTTAACACAACAAAAACATGAAACTGAGAAGAAGCACCCGATCTGCCGAAGCAAACTCAGAGAGGTCAGTCCAGGTATTACATTGGTCATGTCATACGAGAACCAGGCTAATATGGTCCTTTGAAGAAAGAATCATACAGATGTGAGTGGACAACTTAGTACTTTTTAGGATTCCGTACCCGAAGGGTAACCAGCAGGGCCCTATTACGGAGCCTCCGCTGTCCGTGTGTCTGTCTGTCAGCGGGCTCCATCTCATGATCCGTAATAGGTAGATGGTTGTAATTTTCACAGAACGTGTATTTCTGTTGCCGCTATAACAGGAAGTGGTAAAAATAAATTTGAAATTAAAGGATTTGCTACTAGAAAAAGAAACGTGTATTTTTGGCTTTTTTGATCGATAGTAATA